TTTTGCTCAGTCACACTCGCTGGTTTTGGAACAACGCTTTTCTTTTCAATCTCAGCTTGATCTTGCCCAGATGGATACTGATGTCCTTGACTGTAAGCACTTGATGGTGCTGACGACATGGCGTTAGCAAATGATCTGGATATTTTGTAGATTGATTATGCATCTGTGATGGAAGTTGGGAATGAGAAGGTGATGTTTGTGCCGTAGAGGGTATGAATGTTGAGTTTGAGTTTGAGTTTGAGTTTGAGTTTGAGTTTGAGTTTGAGTTTGAGTTTGAGAAGCCCCTGTATCTGGTGTGACGGTTGTTGCGATTGTGGGAGATGAGAAGCGTCTGCTTCGTACATTACGAGGTTGAGGTGCCGCCTCAAATGTACCCGCCATTATACATTCTGCATAATGGCGTGAATACGGCACCCGCGCTGATTCTTTCATAATGTCTCCGCCTCCATAAATACACCCTCCATAAATGCACACCCTCCATATAAATGCACGGGCGACGTTTGTGCCGTCAACAATTATCAAATAACATAATAATAAATACATACACTGAATGGTCAACCTTTTTCCGAGTAATGCTTCAACGACCGCCATAGCGTAGGTGTAGACACCACCTTCCCAGTACGTTGTTCCATCTCAGCAACCAACTCGTCCAGATACCAGTCAGACTTCCGACCGATTAAAACTTTAAGACTCTTCAATAATAATAATAATAATAATAAACAATCATTATCATTCTCGTACTCTTTTCCCCAGACGCACATATTTAGTCAATTGAAAGCAACATATTACCTCCATGTCATCGACATCAAAGGTTTTTCTTCCCCGCGTGCCAAAGCTCTCTTATCTTCTTATCCGAGTAACCGTTGTGGGGAAGATATACTATTCGCCAACGTAAGTGTCTGTTCACTGAAAGTAGTGTAGGTTACTTAGTTAATCGCTCTGTTTCCACTTGCATTGCTAAGCAAAGCAACTACCTTATACTAAATAATAAACCGTTTTTTGAATTAATCCTCTCCACAAGAAATACACCTAATTAGTATAAATTTCTGCGAAGCATGTTTCTAGCATTGCTATTTAAATAATAATATACATGACACAAACTTATGTAAAAGTGCAATCAATCGCAATCTCTTATTATTATAATACATTATTACAACGAACCGAGTTTCTAATTGGTATCATCACATTCAAAACTGTCCAAAGAAAGATGCATGCCTCGCATTCAAAGTCCAACAGCCTTCCCGTCAAACCTGATAACTTTACCCAACCTTAGACGTCCAAGTTTTCGTATAAAAAGACTTCACATAATCTCGTCGTATTCCCTACGAATATCACACCGCCGTCGTATCTGTCACCGGAAGCCCACATATTGCAGAAACCGTCACTGCATCATATTAATATGACGTCCTCAACTTATACAATAGATGAATTGAATGAAGCATCATTGAACGACATTAAATTTGTTGAAGATAAGCTGCGTCCGAGAATTGGTAATAAAACGGTGAAGAAAATAAAGTTTCAATATACAGTACAATTATATAACAAGCTATCCATTTTTCCTTCATATTTTAAACCCGGTTCCGTCTTCGTTGACTTTAAGGCGATGCGGAATCTATTAACTTGAAAAGGAACAAAACGCTTGAACATTTGCTTCTATTTCGCTGTCTAATTAATATGTGAGAAATGAGTTCCGTTGAGATTATTCTTCACTTATTGTTTATAATTAGTGTAATCTGTATAACAAGTAATATTACAAACGTTGAGTAGAAGTTGACGTTGGATACTGTAGAATTTCGTTAGCTTCAACTCAAATATTTGTTCTTGTTACTTTTTTCAAACGTCATTCAAATTCATGCCTATTAAACTTGAATGCTATGTTTGTCGGTCCATCGAATAACACGATCTAGTTAATTAATCGAGGTATTACTTCTTCAGGATTTCAATGCAGAAATTATTGTTGTCACTGAGAGTACTCGTCTCGTAAAGACAAGTTTCGCTTCTTGGCTCTTTGGTATCACATTTGAGCCTCCATAATTACAAAGTACATATCGAGCTTCAAGATGAATTCGCTATTTTTGCATTGAGAGAGTCACTTCGGCTCTTCCTCCAATTTGTAAAGAATCGGAATGTTGCAGATCTTAACTTCATCGGGAGATTGGTGATACCTTAATCAGACCCTGCATTCTTTGATTACCACAAATTCCTTTTTCACCGCGCGGAAATGACCCCTCCAAATAACATAATAGAGGATTTTAGGCTATGTCACGGTTTACTGTTTGATCAAAGCGGTTTGCGTCTTGCGCATAAGTGTGCAGTTCAAGCGAATTGGTCCATCGAAAAATCTCCAAAGACAAGACCCTCTGTACAGTTTATAAACACTCACAGAATACAAGATACTTATACGTATGCGAATAACCTCGCACTTGATAAAGAGGGCACTCTTTTTAATCCCCCGAAACCATTTTCTCGTTTTAAAGAAAACAATCCTTTATATGAAAGGACGCTCGATAAGGCGGTCATTTTCCGAATAGACAAAGAACTTTGGAATATCAATCTTGCGCTTGAGGATGTCCAACCGACCGATGAATTTGTTGAAGCAATCAAGCAAGCGATTGAACATAATCCAACGCATAGAAAATTGGATGATGTATTCTCTGAATATGGATATTGGTTGAATTGCAAAATTAAAGTGGGCTGCAGGTTACAACGCTTTTCTCAATTCTACCCTTTCGAACCTGGACAAGACCATTATTCCAAGGATGTTGAATTACGTCAAACAGAATGGATAGACGGTGAGGGCTTAGACAAATTTTTAATTGACCTGCAAACCAACAGCGTCCCAAAATTGCTAAATTTTAGAGTTTATTCTCAAAGACGGCGAAAATATTTTATACGATGAAATCCGTGATGAATGGTCAAAGAGAATACATCCATTTGAGAGCAACTACTTGCTTTCAGCTGACAATTCCGTAATAGGAATTGGGTAAGGATATTTGCACAATTTAAGAATCATGTTCTTGTAACAACCATTAATAAAAGTTGGAACTCTAATAGGGAAATCGGCGAATGGTTACAATATAGCCCGAGAGCATCTAACCAATGGAGTGTAATTGAAAGAGCCAACTTTGTTCCAGCTTATAAATTTCTAGATGAATCTTTAATTGCTAAGGTCGAAAGGTTATTCAGTGATGAAACAGAAACACTCATGATTGGAGAATCACTGATTGATCCTCGTTGTGCTGATCTTTGTCAGGTTAAGTTTCCTCTTACTCAGCCTCTATTGAGCAATGCATATACAGTTAATGGAAAAGTCTACAGCAATGGGAAAAGATGTAACGTAGCTGTGAAATTATATTTTGCTAGCACTTATGGATTTTCTCTCGAAATTGCCTGGAATAAATTTCCGTAAGTTCTCTACTGTATAATGTAATGTGTCTTGTTAATACACTACTATGCTTCCTTCTCTAATTATTTACTACTATGAATTTAGCAAAGAAGTAGAAGGTATTTATGTCAAATGGAAGTTGCTAGGTAATCGTGCTAGGATTGGTTACTTTGGCCAATTGAAAGTTGAGACTTTTGAAAGTAAAACACAGGACAGAAAATTATATATTGGATTAGATGTACCTCCTGCCAAAGTCTGGCAGGAAGAGGTGAAAGAAGATAATGATAATGGACATAATGATGGCAATGATGATTTTGATCATAATATTCAACCTTATCACATTCAATCTTATCCTATTCAGCAACCATTACTAGTATGTGCTGAGGCAACAAGTGATATGGAATGGCAAAAATCATCAACAGTTCAACAAATGGCATTTGAATGGTATCAAAAAGCAGCTAAACAAGGAGATACTGATGCACAATATAATCTTGGTTTGTGTTATAAGAATGGAATTGGGGTAGAAAAGGATGAACAAAAGGCAATAGAATTGTATAAAAAGGCAGCTGAACAAGGATATGCTCAAGCACAATATAATCTTGGTTTGTCTTATAAAAATGGAAGTGGAGTAGAAAAGAATGAACAAAAGGCAGTTGAATTGTATAAAAAAGCAGCTGAACAAGGATATGCCAGTGCTCAATATAATCTTGGTGTGTGTTATGAGTATGGAACTGGGGTAGAAAAAGATGAACAAAAAGCAGTTGAATGGTATCAAAAAGCAGCTAAACAAGGAGATACTGATGCACAATATAATCTTGGTTTGTGTTATAAGAATGGA